GCCTCTGCTGACACTCCAGGAGGGAGGAGGTCTCATTACTATTGGGTCAGGTAGAAGTTCAGGCTCCCCACCAGGCTTCCACTGACATCACCCTGGCTGAGACAGGGAATGGTGCCTTGTCTCTCCTTCTCACATAGTCTCCATTGGCACTGCATGGGACAGGTCCCACTCTTGGCAGCAGGGCCTTCTCTGACACAGCCCCAGTGGGTGGTAGGGATGACTCGTTATACCTGGGTGGAGTGCAAGTCCCCACATCCCATGGGGTCTCCAGTGACATTGTGGGAATGGCTGTACCTTGTTACATGTGGGCAAGAGTGGAAGTCTAAACTCCCTTCTTTGCCTTCGCGGACAAGTGTGGGATGGAGCCAATCTTCTCTATGTGTTTGACTGCAGTGGAGCAGTGTTGTTTAAGAATTTTCTGTCTTACTGCCCCTTTCCTGGTCCTTTGGCTAGAAAGAGAAGGCTTTTGTGCTTTTTTTGGTCTGTGACAGTTGGTTTTTCTGGGTTGCCCACTTCACCAGCACCCAGTTTGGGATATATGAGGCAAAAAGAAAACCAGGGAATCCCCTGCTGTGCCATTCTCTGGGTTATAAAGTCGCTAACTGGTCTGTGCTCTTCTCTCTACCATTCAGGGTCTTCTTATGTTTGTTTTATATATAATATCCAGAGGTGTGTTGTTTTTTTTAAGCTCTATTTAGCAGGAGGAATAGGAAGACGTGTGTCTACTCCATGTCTTCCCTGCCTCCCCTGATATTTGAAGCACCTAAGGAAACAATATAGAATATTAAGGTGCTGCCATTTACTTCTTACAAAATGAGACAAATTAGATAAGAAGAAAAGTACAGTTATTGTGGGAACAAAGCTAGTTTGTTCTCTCCAAATCGTAGCCTTAAGTTCAGTTTTATTTGTCTTTACTTCTCTCTTCTCTAGGTAGAAATTTATGTTGGAAAATTAACTGGACAATGGACATTTTCCTCGCTAACATTTCATGTTCATATATGATTACACACGTTGTGATTTTAAGAATGAAAATGGAATCATTTGTTAGCTAGGAAATTACTGAATCCTTATCAGACCCTGATGAAACTATAGAAAAAGTAGCTGTGGGGAAAATTGTGTTTGAAGTCATCCTCCACACTCACTGTGAGTTAATTATAGTCACTAATTTTCATATGTACACAATGTATACATCTTTTTAATATTAAAATATTTTGAAAGAGGCAACAATGTGATCATTAAGAGTTCCACTGTGTGTTAAGGTTACCAGTTGGCCATAGCCTAATGGCACAGTCATTTTAAGTGAAATCATGTTGGGGTGGGGAGGGGAGTTCATCATGGTGAAGCAATATCTGATGTTCACATAATATAAGGTGATTTTGGACTACAAAATGGAAAATGTTACAAAAGTACAGAATGTAAATAAATCAGACCACCAACATTGTAACCATTTCAAAGTTACAAGGTGAGATAGAGATTATCTGCATTTTCATTTCCTGGAAGATGTGAAGGATGAGACAGTCAGAGGAACACAATACTGCTGGTTTAGTGCAGTGGTTGCAAAATGTGCAGAAACTAATTATGAATATTTGCTGTCTTAAGCCATATGCTCATAGACTAACTTGTATTTTTCATTACAGATTAAAAATATTATTTAGAATCTATACAGTTACTGAAGTGTCCTATATTTGGCTGTAGAATTTAATATATAAAAGATAATGGTCTTTTTCTAAAATACCTTTTGTAAAAAAATATTCTCATTCAGAGAAAAGACTTCACAGATCTGTTTTTTTCTCACAATAAGCATAGTGAAATTGTTTCTTTACTCTTGAAGTAATATCACTGAGACCTCTAGGCAAAAATAATGAGAATATACAAAATACAAAGAAATTAATCTGATTATTAGATTTGTTTAAATGTTGCAAAACTGGTGTGTGTTATAGATGAAATATTACATATTATAGTCTGTAAAGAAAGCAGGGGAAAATGAAAATCTGTTGCTCTGAATTGTGATGAGCTGCTAGGGAAAATCTTTGTGCTTTGCAGTAGGTGTAATTTCAAAGAATTGAGCACTCAAAGAAGGACCACAGCTCAGCATTCTTTTTTTATCTTCTATTTACTAACATAAAAAATCGTCACTGAAGATTGGCCTCGCTGAAGCTTGAAGATCTAGAAATTTCAATTTTAGCATCAAAAGTGTTTTGTGTGTGCAGCACACTTCCCTGATGGGTTTGAAAAATTGACAAAAGAAATACGACCATAACTATAAGAGTTTGCTTGTTTGATGATAACCTGGGGTCAATGCCACCAAATATCAGTCTATAAAGTTTACTTTACATACATTTCAAATGCTTTTATGATTGACAAGAGTATTCAAAAAACTTTAAATGCTGAGATTACAGTGAGGGAAAACTAAACCTTTGGAAGTCACAATCCAATCAGACAATGGGTTCTGTCTTAGTTATCTCATGCTGTGTAACAAATTTATCCCCAAATTTAACTGCTTAAAATGGCATGTATTTATTATCTCACACAGTCTCTCAGGATTAGGAATCATGAAATGCCTAGAGGGTGGTTCTAGTTCAAGGACTCTTGAAGGAATGCAGCCAAGCTGTCAGTCGGGGCTACAGTAAATAATTTGACCACCCAAATGGGGAAGGATTGATTTCCAAGCTTACTCATGTGGTTGTCTACAGGCTTCTGCTCTTTGCTGGCTACGGGCTGGAGTCTTAGTTCCTTGTCACCCAGGCTTCTCCATAGGCTACCTGAGTGCCTGAATGTCCTCACAACATGACTGCTGTTGTCTCCCAAAGTGAGAAATCTGAAGGAATTTCAAGGAGGGAAGCCACAATCATTTTTTAAAAAAGAATTTATTTATTTATTTGACAAAGAGAGAAAACAAGCAGGCAGAGAGGCAAGCAGAGAGAGGAAGCAGGCTCCCTGCTGAGAGCCCGATGTGGGGCTCGATGCCAGGACCTTGAGATCATGACCTGAGCCGAAGGCAGAGGCTTAACCCACTGAGCCACCCAGGTGCCCCGCCACAGTCTTCTTTAACCTCATTTCAGAAGTGATACAACACCACCTCTGCTTTATTCTATTGGCCCTCCAGACAAACCATAGTACAGTGTGGGAGGGGACAACATAAGGCTGTGAATGCCAGGAGGTGAGAATCATTGTGGGCCATCATGGATGGTGGCGACCACAGGTTCAGAGCAGCCTTATGACTTGGAGTCACCTAGAATTCACCTAGAGGTTAAAATATACTTCCTCTAAAAGCCATTGTTTATTATCAGGGAAAAATTACATCTGGGTCTACTAGTGACTATCCAGACAGACCACAAGGGGCAAATGGAAAGCTGCTGACATTTCTCTGCCAAAGTCACATAACCTCTCTGTCACCTGAGTCTACTAAGTATACTAAGCATTAACAATTCAACTCTTAGCCACACTTTTTATGGGGATTAACGGCCAAATTTAATTTAAAAAATGAGTATGATCTATAGTATAGCCTTGAGAAGGGTAAAATAAATAAGGGAGTAATATAAAAATATGCTGTAAGATGATTACCAATCATATGCTTGTAAGAATAAACTTTTAAAACTTGATGAAAAGTTAGAAAACAAGAGACCTTTCAGGTTGCTCCTCAGTTTGAATAATTTAATTGGATTTTATAATATCAGTAGGAATCAGTGACTGCTTTTAGCTTTTCTATTTTGGGTGGTAGATAAGTCACTCTGAATACTTCTGGTAGTAAATTGCCAGGTAGAGATACAATCATTAAAAATTACTATATAAAATTCACAGCTTTTTTGTAAAACAGATTTCAGATACTTTTTAATTTCAGAAAGTCTTCTAAGAGGCTTCATATAAATCAGCTGCTTAAAACTCACAAATCATAAGGTACCTGACCCAGGCAAAGCAAATACAGAGCAGTAGGGCATAAATAGCTCTACTGAATTTATACGTACAAATAAACAGCCAATTTTAAACCTACTATTATTTTTTAAATCATTAAATAACCTAGCCATCTGGTTAAGTCAGGACCTATATGTAAATTAGAAAGGCTATTTAAAAGACAGAGCAGTGGCAATAGATGACTTTTTCTTAAGAGTTCACATTGTCTATGCTTGGATTTACTCTCAGTCCTAGGCAAGATATGCTCCTAGATGCTCTCTACCTTTCAGGGGAGGGAGGGAATTGTTGCAGGTCAAGAGATGGTGATTGCTATCTGAGGAAGAAAAAGAGACTGGGTAGTGCCTGGTGCTAACTTTATTTTAGCAGTCGTTCCCCTAAGGTGCTTAATAGAATCAAGAGTCTCTGCCGTGAGACTCAGGTGCCAAATATTTAAACTCTCCAAGTGATTTCACTGGGCAGCCAAAGCTGAGAATTTTTGTCTTGGGGCAGTAGATCTCATTTCAGAGATCATCAGAATCTTCTGGAGAGCATGCTGAAATTACGGAATGCTGGGCCCCATCCCTAGAATTTCTGGTAGGTAGGTCTGGGGTGGGCTCAATAATTTGTGTTTTTAACAGGTTCCCAGATGATGCTGATTTGCTGTCCTACGCTTTGAGGATCAATCTTAGATGAGTTTTGGCCTTTTTTTTTACTAGAGTTCAGTTGTGCGTGGGGTGTAGGGGGAGGGGTGAAAATTGGTAGAAGGAGAGGGACAGAAGCCGCTAGTCTCCCCACTTTCCTGGCCCAATCCCCTTCCAAGCTGAAGGGGAACTGGAATCTACCACTGCATCACATCTCCCCTATTTTCTGAGTCTTTATTTCACAGACCGAGTAAATAAAGGTGCTTCAGGGGTCAGTTGAACGGTCCACAGCTGTTTAGATCGCAGTTAACCAGCCCATTTTAGCGGGCTTCTTCGCTCACGCACACCGTCCCTCCAAGGAACCCTGCTCAAAGTGGCCCACTAACCTTTCTCTCCTCCCTGCCCCGCCCCCAGAGTCTCTGCGTAGTTGCGCAGACGACGTGGCCGGCGTTCAAAGCGAGCAGCTAGAGGAGTTCAGTGGGGCACCGCGTGCCGCGCAGGCGCTAGGGGAGAGGTGCCGGAGCCGCCATCATGGCCTGTGTCAACCCCGTGGTAAGGAGGACCGGCCTAGCCTGAAGGCCCATGGTCTGTGTGGAGGGAGGGCTGGTCCAGGGATCACGGCAGGCAAGGCCTGTACACACGCTTTCCCCTCCTGGCCCTTCACAGTCTTTCAGAAACCGTCACTCTAAGTGCCCCCCCCCCCCCCCCCGCTGTTCGCCTCCGCTTTGGAGGAAGCCGGTGAGGGCCAGTAGTAGCTCAGCCGGAAGTTGGAATCCGCCCGCTGAAGGAACCGCTGCCTCCTCCTCCCCACCGTTCTCACTGGCACTGAGGCTGTCTGGAAGAGGTGGTTAGAGCTGGAGCTCGCGGTAACCCTCCAGTTTCCTGTCCTGAGAAAATTCCCGAGTTCAGCTGTACCCTTATTCTAATTCTTACTTCCAGTGTGGCCATTGTTGATTCTGAGCTCTATTATTTACCTGAAGTAATAAGTGATGTGGTATTTCTTGTTGCCCAGGCGTATTTTTTGAGTTCTCTCCTACCCCGCATTTCCCCATCCTGAATGCTTAAGTACGCCATTGGAATTAAACACAAACCTTGATCTCCTACCCTTACAGTGAGAATTGACAGGCTAGCCCTTCAGCTCATAACCCTGCTGTCATGAGCACTGGCCCTTTTAGTTTTAATGGCGGAAACCTCGATATCAGCGTCACGTGATGAATTAAGCACGTTATCCCAGATGTTTCATGAAACACTTGGTCCCGAGTCTTAGGAAACATCTACCCTAAAAGAAAGATAACCAACACAAATCTAGACCCAGTTTACTGGAGAGGCTTCCTTTTTTCGTTCTTTTTGTTCCCATTTCATTCAGCGGTCTGAGAAATTTGGGAGAAAACAAGGGCACCTGGAATGGCACTTGTGAAACGCTCTATCAATTTTTAAAGAGCTGAATTAAAGAGAAAAACAAGGATTCACCTTTATTTTCATTTCACCTGAACAAACTTGGTATTTGGTGAAAGGCAGTGTGCTTGTCCCGGTTTGTTATTTTATGGGTTCCATGTACATACATGCAACATAAAAGGGTACTTTTTTAGAGACACATTATTTCATTGTGTATCCATTTTTTGATGCTAATGTATTTTAAGATACGTAAAATACTCAGGCTTGAATATAAGTTTACCATGTGTACCGTTTTATCTGATGGTGAACTCTGCGGAGGGTGTGAGTTTTCTTAAATAGAGAAGAGGTTAAGGTGGATTTCCTGGACTATACATTGTTCTGATTAAGGTATTAGGGAAAGAATATAAAGGCTAACCTTAGTTCCAGAAGAAAAAGGTATGTTCAATACTTATTTTCCTTTTTAAAAATTGTGTTCTAATGGTTTATTTTTGACAGCTGCTCTTATATTCTGAGGGTGGATCTTTTTTTTTTTTTTTTTAAAGATTTTATTTATTTATTTGAGAGAGGAAGCATGAGAGAGGAGAAGGTAGAGGGAGAAGCAGACTCCCCCCTGGAGCTGGGGGACTGATGTGGGACTCAATCCCGGGACTCTGGGATCATGACCTGAGCCAAAGGCAGTTGCTTAACCAACTGAGCCACCCGGGCACCCTCTGAGGGTAGATCTTAAGGAAGTTTTTAACCCTAGAAGTGTTTTCTTCTTGTGGTAAAAGTGATCAAACTAGCTGGGATGAACACCGAAGTATCACTTTAGTATGCCTTTATCGGGGTAAGCTATTTGAGAAGAAGCAACTAATCTAGGGCACTTAATGGATATGCCTGTGAATAATGTGGTACTGATTGGCCTATTTATAAGCTTACCTGGGATCTTTATGGGGATTAATTTTAAACCTAACTATTCTTGATGTGAGCGGGAGTATTTAGAGAGTATTTACTGGGTAGTGTGAAAAAGCAGTCCTAGAATGCTACAATTTTTATTGCCAAATCTTGTGGAAAGGTATAGTTCATTCATGTCTTGGTTAGGTTCTGTTAGGAATCCATTTGGGTGCACTTGTACTTTTCACTTGACAGTGGTTCAGAATATTTTTTTGGACTACAGGTATTTTGGAAGTGGGATAGTCTTTGGTTACTCTCTTGTAAGTGCTTGTCTCAGTCTTACAGCTTGCAGTTTATTCATATATGTGAAAGTAATATAGTGAACTCTAAAAACTCCTTTGTCCGCTTTGAGAAAATAAATTGAAGACAGTAGGTTCGTTTCCACCTGCCTTAAATGAATTTATGCTAAGCGAAATAAATCAGAGAATTATCATATGATCTCACTCATGTGGAATTTAAGAAACAAAACAGGATATAGCAGAAGAGAGGAAAAAAATAAAACAAGATGAAGTCAGAAATGTGACAAATCAGAAGAGACTTTTTTTTTTTTTAAAGATTTTATTTATTTATTTGACAGAGAGAGATCACAAGCAGGCAGAGAGGTATGCAGAGAGAGAGAGGAGGAAGCAGGCTCCCTGCTGAGCAGAGAGCCCGATGAGGGGCTCAATCCCAGGACCTTGAGATCATGACCCGAGCCGAAGGCAGTGGCTTAACCCACTGAGCCACCCAGGCACCCCCTGAAGAGACTCTTAATCACAGGAAACAAAATGAGGGTTGCTGGAAGGGAGGGGTGGGGGATGGGGTAACTTGATGATGGACATTAAGGAGGGCACGTGATGTAATGACCGCTGGGTATTATATAAGACTGATGAATCACTGACCTCTCCCTCTAAAACTAATAATACATTATATGTTAATTAATTGAATTTAAATAAAAAAATAAAAGGGAGAAGGTTAAATTTTGACAAAAACCAAGTGACGTAATTGTAACCTACCATCTTGATTAATTATTATCTCATATTTGATTGTGGTTCTTTAAGTCAGTCTTGTAGATAGCCTGAGACTATGGGTCAAAAGCTAACACAATTTATGGACAGTTAAGACTATACTGGAAGTAGATCGCATTTAGTAAGAATCTTTATGGTGGTTTTTCTTTAAACCATAAGAAAGAATACACTGCATGTATTCTTACTTACTATTAAACGTTTAATTGTTTTAATGTTTAAACTATTTAAACATAGTTTAAAATGTTAACAATTGCTTTTTTGTAGCCTAAACTCTACAGATCAATAATTGAAGATGTAATTGAAGGAGTGCGGGATCTATTCGCTGAAGAAGGTATAGAGGAACAAGTTCTAAAAGACTTGAAGCAGGTTTGTAGACAATGCAAGTTACCCTTTTTGTTCTTTCTTCTTAAAAAACTTATAAATTTTAGTTTTAACCCCTCAATTATAGTTTAATGCTTACCCATTCATTGTGCCATCAGCTGACATTAAAAGTTAAATACCTAAATACCCTAACTTTTTAAAAAAATTTTTTTCTCTGCAGCTCTGGGAAACAAAGATTTTGCAGTCTAAAGCAACGGAAGACTTCTTCAGAAATAGTGCCCATACACCCGTGTTCACCCTTCCATTGCCAAACAGCTTGCACCAAACATTGCAGTCATCAACAGGTTGGATACAGTTAGTAAATTAGTACTAGTTTGGTCTTCAGAACACATTCTCATTGGTGGTGGTTTTATTTTAGGGTAATGTTCTTAAGGTAAGGGGGCTTGGAACTCAAAACCATTACTATTAAATGAACACAATAAACCGTCATCTTGTAATTATGGGTAACAAACTTAGGTTATTCAAGTCAGCTTTTGAAAATACTGAAGTCCACAAAGATGACCAACTGTTACTTCAGAGGAACAAGTTACATCATTTGTGGGCTATTGGGAATACCCACTAGTTATTTCAGAGAATTTGATTGGGTTGTGTCAAGGAGTAACTGAGCCACCATTGCTGGAAAAAGCAGTGGGAAAGATGGGTGGTTGCATGCTTGTGCATTCTTTATCTTTCTCTTGCTTGTTGTATATATTATAAATCTGCTATTGTACTGGAAGCAAAATAGAGAGTTAACATGAATATGGAGATTATTCAGGCTACTTTGCTGTTTTGGGTATTATATATTATGGCTAGAAATTAACCCTATGTACTTTTCTTCATTTCTTGGACTTGAAACCTTTGCTTTTGAGGAAATAATTTTCCATATTACGTGTATCAATTTAAACTGGAAAAAAGTGGCTAAGATAAATGATACTGTTTTATCTTTCTAGCCTTTATTCCTTCTTTTCTGATGCTTAAAATTTTTATACTATCCTAATATATGTGTGTGTGTTGTCTGTATGTCTGCATGCAACACACACACACACACACACACACACACACACACAGGTTTTATTTTGTTTAGTTGAATTAGATTGATGTCTGCCAGAAGCGAGGGTAGATTTTGGATTAGATTTTGGATTGGATTGTCAGTAATGACTAGGTTGTTCATTGCACACGTGGGAAAATTCAAAGGAAAATCACGTGGGACAAGGTGAAGAGAAAATAGTAAGGAGGCTAGTATCTTGTTTATTATAAAATAAGAGAATTTAAGCATGGCAGCAATTATAACTTAAAAATGAAATAAGTTAACAATGAATATTGAATTCCCAGATGTAACTTTTATCTAATGTTATGCTTCTAAAGTATAACTTTACTCTGTTAGCCACAGCAGTTTTAATTACTAAGTTGACACTTTGAAACATTTTACTTCAGTTTCTATAGTTTTGATTATGCTTTTGTTTTTAACTTTTTTATTAGGTCATCCGTTTTCTCTATTTAAATAACATTATTTTCTTTATTGAAGAACTTTAAAGATTTTCTTTCTTTCTTTCTTTCTTTTTTTTTAACCTAGGAGTGACTTGGAGGATGGCCAGTGTGGAGGAATGAAAGATTAGACTTTTTTTATCAAAAGCAGTTAACACTTTTCAGGTTCTTTGTCATTCAAAATTGCAATACTTGTTTTTGCCGCAAGATGGTAATATTAGCAGTGATTTAATCACAAAATAGTCTTGCAACTAATATGTCTAGCTGGCTTTCATTCTGCACTGTATTCCTATTCTCTTTCTTGGACGTTAGAATAATAGAAATAATTACATTTAAACAAGACAGTTTTTATTCTTTTCTACATCATTTATAATGAAAAGACTTAGGAGGAAGTACATGTCCTTTAAAAATGCATTACAAGCCTTGTTTTTATCCCTCTTCATTTCTAGGTTCCCTAGAATAAGATTCTTGAAGTAAATAGCCTCATAAAATTTAAGTACTTCTTAATTATATCTTCTCATTGTAGGCTTTTAAAAGCCTGATTAAAATAATCTAAACTAACTTCTGCAACCTTTTTATCCCTGATAACAAGTTCGAATTAAATATACAATGGAGTAAATCATTTGCCTTTGTTCCATCTTTAAAGCTTTTTGCTCTATCATATTTTCTTTGACTCTATTGTCCATTTGCTTAATAATTTCCTGTATTTTCAGTTGTCAACTTTTTTTGGTCTCAGGACCCCTTTACACTCCTAAAAATGGAGGACCTTGAAGAGCTTTCTTTATGTGGGTTGTTAAGTATCTATTTACCATATAAAAGCTTAAAACTGAGAAACTTAAAGTTTTATAAATTCCAAAAATTGATAATATGTTAACATAATTACATATATTTGTTAAAAGTAACTTTTCCAGAACAAAAAGTATTTAATGAGAGGAGTGGCGTTGTTTTACTTTTCTGAAAATCTCTTCAAATGTCTGGCTTAATATAAAGTAGCTGGATTCTCATATCTATTTCTAAATTCAGTCTGTTGTGATACATAGTTTTGGCTAAAGTATATGAAGAAAATCTAGCCTTCCACAGATGTATAATTGGAAAAAGAGTGTTTTTATAGCAATTTCAGGTAACTTGATACTACACTAAAACTCAACAAGTGTTAGTTTCTGAGAGTTTAGCTACAAGGTGGAATCTGAAACTTTATCAGTGGACTTTGTAATGTTAAAAGATCACTGGTGTGTCTTGCACTTTGAATGACTCCTTAACCTGTGTGTGGTTTTGTAACATAAGTTAGTTACTTGGAAAATACTGTTTGAGTTATGCACTTGACAAATTATTCATTATACAAGATTAAAAAATACTGTTAATATCACCACACATTTCTTCAGAAAAATTGGAAAGCTATCAAGCTCACTGTGGTGGATATAAAATTTACAAAATTTAGATTTTTGGTTGAAAGCTTGAATTTTACCATTGCCAAACAAATACTGTCAGTTTGTTTTCCTTGAAGTGACGGGCACATTTGGTTCATTTAAAAAAAAAATGACTGCCAAATATCTGTCTGAATAACCATAGTTTGTGTCACTTATTCTCTCAAGTAAAAATGTTTCTTAAAAAGGAGAGGCTAGATCAGCTTTCACCTTAAATAATAGCACCAGTCATTTTCCATGTACTTCCTTGTGTATCTGTATGCTGCAGAAATGCTTTGTGTTCTTCCCATTTAATCCACAGAATATTAAAAGAAAGTATCCTCAAGGGTTGAAATTTTATAAAAATAGTTCTTTATGGTTACATTTAGGAACTTCTTTAGTGAAACTGTTTTATTGTTGCTGTTGTTTATCTTTTTTACTGTGAGTGGGTGGTGATGGAGAACAAATAAAGGGGCCACTAGCAGGTTTGGTAATACTGCTTTAATTCATGCTAAGATGCCCTCTTTCTCTCTCTCTCTTTCCCTTTCCTTCTCTCTCTCTCTTTCCCTTTCCTTCCCTCCCTCCCCCTCTCCCTTCCTTCCGTCTTTTTTTTTTTTTTTTTTAATAAAGTAGGCTCTGCACCCACCCAGCATGCAGCCCATTGGAGGGCTTGAACTAATGACTTTGAGATCAGGACCTGAGCTGAGATCAGGACCTGAGCTGAGATCAGGAGTCAGATGCTAAGGGCCCCTGGGTGGATCAGTTGGTTGAGCCTCCAACTCTTGGCTTTGGCTCAGGTCATGATCTTGGGGTCCTGGGATGGAGCCCTGTGTCGGGCTGTGTGCTCAGTGGCCAGTCTGCTTGAGATTGTCTCTCTCCCTCTTCCCCTTCCCCAGCTCGTGTGCATGCAGTTTCTCTCTAAAAATAAAATCTTTTAAAAAAGAAGTTGGAGACTTAACCAAATGAGCCACCGAGGCACCCCAAAGTGCCTTTACTTTTACTCATCATTGCTCTGCACTGTAAGTGCAAATGTCAAAAAAGGAAAAAAAAAAAAAGTGAGAAATGAAAAAAAAAGATTTTTATTGTCTTGGTATTATAAAAAATAGTCTGACCTTGTGAACACCCTGAAAGGGTCTCATGGACCCCTGGGGGTTTGCAAAGTACAATTTAAGAACTGCTATTCTATCATTGGGGTAATTATATATGGTTTGTAATCCACTTTTTAAAAAAGACAATGTTTTTAGAACTTTATATTCACAACAAATTTAAGAGAAGGTACAGAGACTTCTCCTATACCTCGTGTCCCCAATCATGCATCATCTCTTCAGTTATTAACATCCCCCACCAGAGGGTTTCATTTGTTAACAATTGATGAACCTACATTGACCTATCATAAACACCCAAAGTCCATAGGTCACATTATTGCTCTTGGTGTTGCATGTACCATGTGTTTATTCAAATTTATAATGACATGTATCCATCATTACGGTGTCTTACAGAGTATTTTTATTGTCCTAGAAATCCTCTGTGCTCCTCCTATTCATCCTTTCCTACCATACCAACTCAAGGCAACCATTGATATTTTTATCATCTCCATTGTTTTACCTTTTTCAGAATGTCCTATAGTTGGAATCAATCATGTAGTATCTAGCCTTTTCAGATTGGCTTATTTTACTTAGTAATATGGTATTAGGATTCCCTCATATCTTTTTGTGGCTTGCTAACTCATTTCTTTTCAACACTGAATGATATTCCATTGTCTGGATGTGCCAGTTTATTTAATTGTTCACCTGTAAAGCACATCTTGGATGCTGCCAAGTTTTGGCAATTAGGAATAAAGCTGCTGTGTGGAGGTTTATGTGTGGATGTAAGTTTTTAACTTCTTTGGGTAAATACCAAGGAGAGTGACTACTGGGTTGTATGCTTAGTTTTGTAAGGAACCACCAAATTTTCTTTCAAAGTGACTGTGCCATTTTACATTCCCACCAGCAGTGAGTGAGGGTTCCTGTTGTTCCACATCCTTGCCAACATTGGGTGTTATCAGTGTTGTGGATTTTGTCCATTTTTAATTTAATGTAGTGGTATCTCATTGTTTTAATTTGCATTTTCTTGATGACTTACGATATGGAGCATCTTAAATGCTTATTTGCCATCTATATCTTCTTTGGCAAAGTGTCTCTTAAGGTCTTTGGCCCATTATTGGGTTGTTATGGTTGAGTTTTAAGAGTTCTTTGGTTATTTTGGATAATAGCCCATTATCATATATGTCTTTCACAATATTTTTCCAACCAATGTCTTTTCATATCATCTTGATTTTTTTTTTTAAAGGAGTTTTAAGTTTTTATAAAACCTGGCTTATCAATTATTTCTTTCATGCGTTGTGCCTTTGGTGTTGAATCTAAAAAGTCATTGCCATACTCCTGGTCATCTAGATTTTCTTCTATCTTCTAGGAATTTTGTAGTTTTGCATTTTACATTTAGTTCTGATCTATTTTTAGTCATTTTTTTTGGAAGGGTATAAAGTATGTGTCTAGTTTCATGTTTTTTTGCATTGGATAGCCAGTTCAGACATTTGTTGAAGAGACTATCTTTGTGCCATTGTATTGCCTTGGCTTTTGTGTTAAAGATCAAGTGACTATGTTATGTGGGTCAGTTTCTTGGCTCTCTGTTCTGTTCATTGATGTGTTTGTCTATTCTTTGACCAGGCAACACTACCTTGATTACTGCAGCTTTCTAGTAAGTCTTGAAGTGGGGCAGTGTCAGTTCTCCAACTTTTTCTCCATGAATATTGCATTGGCTCTTCTGGGTCTTTTGCCTACAGTTCACTTGTGAGAAAGAAATGGGATTGCATTAATAATAACCTCAGAATAATAGGTGTAAACTAGGACGGTCCTGGGTTAACTGAGACGTGGGATTCACTTTGTCCATGATTGCCCTATTTCTAGAGCAATTCAAATCTGTGCTATTTGGTCTTCATGTCACATAGTTTTTTTGATGAAACTATCATTGTATGAGCAAGAAAGGGAAGAATAGGAATTTTGAGAAGTTTGTGATGGCTTTCATCTTTGAGTGTTCAGACTCCTTCAGGTACAAACTACATGTCCAACTGTTGCTGAATTTAGATCTGGTGAAAATTTCAACAGTGCTGTTGGTTCTTGATGTGATTTGAGGTAGAATATTCAGTTTGGTTATCAGAGATGTGTATATGCTAATGAGTAGTCAAAAAGAATATTGACCAGTCTTTGCACCTCTTGAGTCCCGTGACTTGGATATTAAGATTTGGAATGGTTTAAAGCAGGACCAAGAATTGTGAAGTTATTAAATGCCTTAATGTATCAAAGACTTCTTGGTGTGTAAGAAAGAAATACTCTTGTAGATGTCACAATGTAGCATCTTTTCTTAATTTACACTTCTTAAATTACATTTGTGGGATTGAATTCTTTCTATATTGTAAAGCCTATTGTTTGTGAAATTTAATATTTCTAGAATATATACATGAAGACCAAAATTCTAACACTTTTTAGTTTAAGTAAAGACACATACTCAGTTAAAACTTAATTGGGTATTGAAACCATCTTGGATATTTTAAAAAGCATGTTTCAGGCACATGTAATGGTATATATAATTTGTGGAAGTATGTAAATGGTGCATTTAGTATCAAAATTAACTAGGAGCTGCATGAAACTTCACTATAAAACTGTTCAATGCTTTTATTCTGATGACTATAAAGGAACTCTTAAACTCTCTTATAGCTCTGTTTGATTTATATAAGATTAGAGAATTATCCTTTAGGATTTATTGCAAGGTATTTAAAAGAGGGGGAATTGTTGCTATTTTTCCTCAAGAAATTCATTTAATTGCTTTAGACAGCGTGTTAACAGATTTTTGTTTCCTCTCAGGCAATGGCTTCAGCTGTACCAGTTTAAGCTTCGCTCACTTCAGCTAATTAAGACTAATACCCTTGTGTTCCTGCCACACCAATTCTTTCTACTTTAGCCTTTCTAAAAGAATGCCTGTTAATAAGCAAAGCCATAGATGAACGGAGGATAAAAATAATTTTCTGCTTCATTAATCATCAATCTCTGTAGCTTCACTTCTGTTATTCTAATGTGGGAAGAATGGTTAGTTAAAAAAAAATATTTGCTCTTCTGAGTGACTTGCTGTTTATAATGGAGTCATTCTAGTGTCAGAAGCAAATCTTAGGGACAATTTAATGTGGTCTGTGAAAAAACACCATAATAAACATTACATTTAATATATATGTGCTCCATAAACATGCTGAAACATTCTCTTTTATATTAAAAGGCGAAATGATATTGTAACAGTCATGTTCAGCTAGGTAAAATCAACCTTGAGGTAAAGTTTAAGGTTATGTTGATCTCCTGAGGTCTTTCTACTATAGTTACTATTTGTTTTTTACACTTATTTTTTAATGCTTCCATTTCCAACCATTAGGCAAATGTTTTAGTTATATTAAAAACAAAGAGATAGCATAGGAAATTGGTAGATAATAAAGAAAAGATATGTGAGATTGCAACTTTAATGCAGGTTGAGGTGGTCTTCCCCTAGGAATTTGTTCTATTTTTCTTAGTAGTCATACTTGTTTCATGTAAAGACTTGTGGAGACGTGTTATTCATTAATTCCTAAAACTATGTAGTTGTGCTGGCTAAAGTATTATAAATAACTTTTCCTGAAATGAAGGAATGGGAAATTCTTTTGAGCCTATAAAATTTAGAATGGTTTATGTTGGGTTACATTTTTTTTGCTCAATAATATAGTCTTTTGGAAATGTGCTACTTGAATAAATACTACCTTTTCTCCTCTGTGAGAAGTTGTAATGGAGATTTAGTGCTAAATTGACTTAATAAAAATAACCTAGGTATTTTCTTGTGGATTTCTATACTATGGTATACTTGATAACAAATAATTTCTTTTGGTACTTAAAACAGGTTAGTTATAAAGTCTTTATCTGAAGTTTTTTGGGAAAAAATATAGTTAAATTCGTTTACCTCACTTGCAATTAGGAAGTTTAGAACTCACCATGGTCAGACATGCTAGTGATGGAAAACATTTTTTTTAAAACAAGCTATACTTAGCAGTTTTATTAAACTGGTAAATTGTAACAAATGTATAATATTTATTTTGTTTTCTATATAGCATCATTAGTTATTCCTGCTGGTAGACCTCTTCCCAGTTTTACTACAGCAGAACTGGTATGTAGCCTGTTTAGGATATTTTTTTCTTTTTAAGATTTTATTTATTTATTTGACAGAGATCACAAGTAGGCAGAGAGGCAGGCAGAGAGAGGGAAGCATACTCTCCGCTGAGCAGAGAGCCCGATGAGGCTTGATCCCAGGACCCTGAGATCATGACCTGAACCGAAGGCAGAGGTTAACCCACTGAGCTACCCAGGCACCCTTAGGATATATTTTTAAAGATATGCCTCACTTTTAGTGAATGGTAGCAGGAGGCTAGGCATAGGTATAATTCATAATCCCCCATTTGAATGAGAAAAGATGTAGTAAGGGATGGGGAGATAGGAATAACTTCTAAAATGTACATGTTGCAAAAACTGAGGAGTTTTAGAATTGACATATTCTTTACCAACTTTTCCTGTCTTCCAGAGCAGTTATTAGCATCTGCCAGTAGTATATATAAATACTGTTGTTAGTATCTATAAGGTCAGGAAATTTCTGAAGTTAAATTCTATGGAGTTTTAATACACAGTATAATGTTATATACTAGGTAGATCCTAAATAAATGATGTTGATACGTTCTGATTTTTTTTTTTTTTTTTTGGCAAGTTGAGCTACATAATAGTTCTTCTTTTTATTTAAGTAAAGTATTTTGGTCATTTTTTGTCTTTGTGTGGTAGAGATTTAGAGGATAGGTGTCCCCCCACCCCTGAAGATTTGGAGCAGAAAATAAATTACAACTTGTATTTAGAAAATTGAGTAGTTTTCAGGTGGGGAAATAATAGCACTTTTTCTCTTTTACCTTTCTTCAGTGGTATATAATCCACTGTTTTTCACCTTTCAGCCCACTTTCTGAGCCAAAAGGGTTGGTAGGCTGTTAATTTCCATTTCTTTATTAAATATAAAATCATACCCCTTACCAAGAGTTTTGGGAAGAATGGTGCTGTTTTTGATAGGAAACCAATGAAAAATATATCTACCTTTGAAATTCTTGAGACTACTTTTTCTCCTGGTTAAAGAAATAATACACTAATAGTAAAATCAAGTTTATAAAATAAAAAGCAAAAGAGCCCTGCAGTATTGTACCTCAAAGATAACTGTTTTAACTGATGTATATCCATCTAGCATTCTTTCATGAAAGTTACCTTAATTTTCAAGGTAAAAGTAGGCACATCTCTGTGCCTTGTTCTGTGTTTTTACTTAGTAATATAGATGGATCCTTTTCCCTGCCAGTTAAATATTGACTAACCTTAGTTGATGTATCATTTTCATTAACTGATATTTTATTAATGGACATTTATTTTTAGTTTTTTTTCTAATATAATTGATAATACTTGTAGATAAGTTTTTGTGTATTGGTATGATAGCAGGTAGTGAGGATAAATTCTTAGAGGTGGAATTTCTGGGTCAAAGATTATGCATGTTTTCAATATGGTTATATATTGTGAAATTGCTCTCCAAAAAGTTAGTACATGCATACTCATACAAGCAGTGGTCTGAGAAAACTGTTTTATTTTTTTTTAAATCACATCCTTACCAATATTGGATGTTTTTAATCAATCTTATAAGTTTTTGTATGTCTGGTAGGCAAAAACTTTTTTGTCTTTTGACTTAGCATTTAAAAAAAATGGAAAACCCTGAGGTTTATTCATTCTAAAATAAAAAGTGTACACTGTAGTATTAACTAATTTAAAGTACCATTAGTGATCAACCTATGGACTAGATGGCTCTTACAAACAGCTGTGTTTCTTGTATCTGACAATTTGAGGATCAGGGACTCATGCAAAGTTATGTAGTGGGGAAGTTTTAGGAATTAGTGTTCATACCATTTACTAAGACTTTACTGGCTTCATTGCGAATAGCCATAGAATAGAATTCTTTTTATCTTTAAATGATCTAAATCAAATATTGAAAAGCTGTTTTGTTCAAAGAACTTAGCCTCAATGTTAAATGTCCAACCATTGTCCTGTTGTCTGAATCAGACTTTTTTTTAATCCCTGTGAGATCAGGAAAAAAGATAAAAGGAAAGCCTTTTTCTAACTTTCTAATTAAATTTCTCATATCTAGGGCACCTCAAACTGTAGTGCAAGTTTCAATTTTCCTGGTTATCCTATTCATGTACCAGCAGGTGTGACACTACAGACTGCATCTGGTAAGGGTATAGTCCCCATTAAATTTTGTTTTGTTTTGTTTTGTTTTTTGTTTTGTCACTGGTACTGACTGCTGGATGTTAATTTTTGTGATTTTTTTAATAAACTGTATACTAGAAGTTACAGGAACTTTTTAAAATATAACTTATTTTAAGAACAATAATAAGTGGTGGTTATTCCTGTTGTGGAGGCAACCTACCATAAAAGACACTGTACGAGATTTGTCCTGTAACTTATTCCCGTTTCTTTTTCCCAGCATTATAGAAGTTGCTTTATATGTTTCTTTAATTCAAATCAATTACCTAAATTCTGACAAATGCAAAGGAGCACATCTGTGTCCCTGCTAGCTCTAATCAAGAAAAACTAAAGATGACATTGATCAACCTTTGCCGCCTTTGGTACTGGAGATCATGTAGGAGAATATCCAAAAAGTTTGGAGAGTAACCAAACTTTGCTTTTTCAGAGTACTATGTCTTGATTTGAGAGAGAATCCTACCTATTCTTTAGGTTTTTGCAAAGTTTAAAGCACCTAACTCTGTGCTCAAAAGAATAAATTTCTTCCTCTTCCTTTTTAGCATTATTTTAAAGGAAAAAAGGGAGGAGGGGATTTGATAGCTTTTGAAATTACTTAACTCTTTTTGGATAGTATTACCTTATAGTAGTTACATGGTATCTTACATGAAATACATTCTCCATTATTATGTTTGTTAAAATCCCAGTTTGGGTTGGTAACATAGTAATTTATCAAACAATGGGATAGGTCCATGAAGTAAATATCAGTGGGTCTGTATGTATCTCAAAGTGTGCCATATAAGCAAGAAGTAAAAAAGGCTAGAGTTCAAGTGAGATGGCTTTAATTGTTAAAAGTAGAGTAATACATATTTATTGTAGAAAACACAATCTGAAGAATAAAATAAAAACTCCGAGAAAACTATTAACTTACTGATGTGTTTTTGGACAGCCTGTTGTGCCTGAGGGTTGGTTGGTTTCTTTCTTTCTTCTTTTTTTTGATTTTTAGAGGAAATTAGGTTTCTATCATACTTACGGTACTATTTTCTCCTTTTTGAGGTCACCTTTATAAAGTCAATGTACCAGTTATGGTGACACAGACTTCTGGAAGAGCAAGTATTCTACATCCAATTCAGCAAGTATTTCAGCAGCTTGGGCAGCCTTCAATAATCCAGACCAGCGTTCCATGCCTGAACCCATGTTCTCTCCACGTGACTGCTGAAAAATCACAGAGAATAGAAACTGTGCTCCAGCAACCCACAGTTCTTCATTCTGGGTTGGTGGATAGGAAACATTTGCAAAATGCAGCCAGTGATACACTTGCACTTCCTGGAAATGAGCGTGAAATCATGTCTGAAGCTTTGTTGAGTCAGCCAGAAAGCCTGACTCAGTATATCCATCTTCCAGGTGTTTTGTTTCCTCCACAGGTCTCTCAGATAGATGAACACGGGGAGCCAGTGCTTGGTGTTTCAGGCGGCATGACTCAAAATCTGAATGGTGTGCCCCTCTCCACTGGCCGAAAGGGGGCCCAGCACCAACACATGTCTGATATTCAGCTTCATGTTCTTAAAAATAGGATGTTTGGATGTGATTCTGTAAAGCAGCCAAGAAATACAGAGGAGCCCAGCAGCCTACCTGTCTCAGAGAAGGTAGTTCTCTGTTGAAGTGAATGGTATTAGGGGAGAGAGAGTGGCCGGTGATTTGACATTCTGAGGGTTTTTTTAAAGCTGTAAGGTACTCAGAAGTATAAGTGTTCTGTTTTTTCCTTTAGAAGATTATTACTGCTTTTAATATAGTAATCCGTTCTTATAAATGCCCAGCATTTCAGACTTTTAATTTCAGTTAATAAATTAGAATAGTCTTCGAAGAAAATGGATTTGTTTTAAAGTAATCCATATTACCTCTACCTTACATTGTGAGAATGTTCATTTGCGTATAAATTTAAAAGACTCAGAAATCAATCCTAATAATTAACTGAAAATAAATGAATATTTTGAGGTAATTCTTAATATACAAAAGAGGTCCAAAATTTTTTTTTTTTTTTTAAGAAGCTCTACCAAATTTTCCTGAACTCCATCAGAAACTTTTCCCTTATCTTACGACTACTTTATTTCTCCCTGTTTGCTGAAATATGAGTTAATGTCTTTTGGAATTCAAACTACTAAAAAATAGCTCCTAATTAACTTTGCACATTGAGAAAAGGTTCAAATTATTAATTTCCAAGGAATTCATGGTGAAGGCAGACAGATTCATGGAGAATTTTGGATGGTAAAATTAAAAAAGAATCTTGCATTCTTTTTACAAATGTGAAATATGTCTTATGGCTAACTCTATAAGGTTTAGTCACATAAGACAATTAATTAAAGGTCTGTGTGTCTAACTAATGGTTTAGTGGCCCCCTAGAACTGCTGTACAAACCTGTAGCAGTGGATAGTAAAGTGTTACTTTAACATTTTCCTAGATGGAAGGGAAAGTTACAGTGTACAGTGAAGGGTAATGAATGAAGAAAATGATTGTAAAACTGTTGGACCCATTTTAGAAAGTTTCTGTTGTTTGATGAAGCCTGTTCAGAATCTTGTAGCAAGTTGAGGTTTGGTATAGAGTATAAAGATTAAAATGTTTTTTGAGTATTATTTCATTATATTTTCCACATAATACATAAAATTTAAGAAATGTAGGCTAAACTCATAATTAGGAAACATTTGTTTTTGAGGTAAAAACAATACCTGTGAATTTAAAATAAGTGTTTTAATTACTTAAGACTTTTGGAGGCATTTTTATCCCAGACTCTGTATGAACTTTGCAGAGTTTTGGTATGAGGATTCAAGGACTTACTCTGTAACTTATGAGATGTCACCTTGTACTTTGTTCTGAAATGGCAAACTAGATTAGTTAAGGGAGATTAATCAAGAATTGTTTAGGGGATAGTGGTCGAGAACTTAGGTTGAAGCCACAATAGGTTCAAATTCCAGATTCACCGTTTACAAACAAGCTATGTAATGTTACTCTCTGAAATTCAGTTATAGTCTGTAGACTGGGCATGAGACCAACCTCATAATTTTAAAAATTATCAGAGATGATTTGTATACAGCTTGTAATAGCTTCTGGGACCACAGTAAGCTTTGGGTTAGTATGGGCATGTGATAAATTGGGTAACTTTTCATATAACTGTTTGGTTAGTTTTAAAATAGAGCTATATTTAAAACACAAAAATCCAAGTAGCCAAAAGTATTTACTTCATAAGGTTTTTTTTTTTTTTTTTTTTTTGTTAATATGCAGTAGGGTCTTTTCAAATAGTAATCTGGTAAAGTTGATGCTGATAAAATTTTTGCAAGAATTATAAATAGGTTTTCTTTCTTTCTTTTTTTTTAAAAGTAGCTTTTTAGTGAATCTTACTGCTTAAAGCAAGTTACAATTAAGTATACATGTTTACTTTTCCTGTGTAGACTACCAGAGATCTAGTTTCTATGTAGGTTTAACATTCTTGCTGTTACATAAAATGTATTCCTGACAATTTTAGATGTTTTAAAATGCATATTAGTATGTTGGATTATTCTTAAGTGTGGGGATTTTGTTTTATAGTCTTAGGAGGCTACAGAAAAATAGAAACTTGGGTTTTCATTGAACTCTAAAAAGTAGGAGTAGAAGGAGAGAAAGGGGTATGGTAATGTATCTTCTGTAACTGTTTTTATCTCTTGACTGCACTCCCTATCATTGTCATTGCCCCACCTCCAAATACTGCCATTTCTGCTGCCTCATCTTTTAATTCTTTACCTGTCTGACTGCAACCTGTTACCTTCTTTCTGAGCTCCTTTTATGTCTCTCTTCTATTTCCAAAGGTTCTGCCCTCAGACATTCTCTTTTTACTTGAAGTTTTCTTTGGACAATCTCCTGGATTATTACAGTTTTAACTACCGCCTATTTGTTGATGACTGTGTTTCTAACTGTATTACTCCCTTGAGCTTCATTCTTCTATCTGTTTGCCTTCTAGACAGTGCTACCTGAATGTCACAGCAATTCATTGATCCTCATCAGAGGCATGCATGGTACCACTGTCTAGTTGGTCTCCCATGCTAAGGATTTAACAATTAACTTTTGGCTCTTTTCCCCCCGTATTCTCCTTATATCATGTGCTTTTAAAAAATTATCTTTAAGATTGCTGTAGAGTGTATACAACATACAGTTTATCATTTTAACCATTTTTAGCTATACAGTTTAGTGGCATTAAGTATGTTGATGTTTGTACAATCATCACTACTATCTGTCTCTAGAACTTTTTCATTGTCCCAAACCAAATCTCTGTACCCATTATATAATAATTTCCCATTACCCCCTCCATGTAGCTCCTACTAACTTGTACTTTCTGTCTCTATGAATTTGATGCATCATAACTGGAATCATAAAATATTTATCCTTCTGTGACTGGCTTATTTCACTTAGCAGAAGATTTTCAAGGTTCATCCATGTCATAGTATGTGTCAGAATTTCATTTCTTTTTAAGACTGCATCATGTCATTTGATAACTTTATAACTTCAGTACTAAATATTTTAGGACTCTCTTCCCTCTTTTCCCTCTCTTCTGCTGTTGTCCTCATTGTCTCTCATTTAAGATAATATAATAGTTTCCTAAGTAATTTATTAACCTGTAGTCTGCTTTTTTCACTCCACTCCTCCCAGTCCGAAGAGTTTCTTACTTTTTTTTTAATTTCATGCCTACTGCTTGGGTGGGAGCACCAAACTGATTGATTCTCTATTAACCTTGGTGTATCCATCTTTCTGTTGCTTTTGTTATTCCCTCTGCTTGGTGCCTGAATCTTCTCCTCCCATCCTCCCATCCTCCTCTCTAATTGCTTCTTATGAAGCAATTAATACTTAATACCACTTAATACTTCCTCCAGAAATTTTATTTCAGTGCCTCTCTACTCTCCCCTCATTTTTGGATTGGCTATGTATCTCTTCTGTGTTATCATTGCACCTTAAGCATGTGTGTGTCATAATGTAGTTAAAAGCTGCATTAAAGTGTCCTGTTCGCCTTGAGAGGTACGTTTTATTAATCTTTGTATACATAGCCCCTAAGAATATATATACATTCATGTATACTGGAATATACTGTCTCTAGGTGGGGCTTGAACTCCTGACTCTTGAGATCAAGAGTCACATGCTTTACCACCTGAGCCAGCCAGGCACCTCTAGAATGTAAGCTTTTTAAAAAAATTTTTTAAATTTATTTTTATTTATTTATTTTTTAATAGAATGTAAGCTTTTAAAGAATAAGATCTAGGGGCAACTGGGTGGCTCAGTGGGTTAAGTCTCTGCCTTCAGCTCAGGTCATGATCCTTGGGGTCCTGGGATGGAGCCCTGCATCTGGCTCTCTGCACAGTGGGGACCCTGCTCCACCCCCACCCCCCACCTGTCTCTCTGCCTACTTGTGATCTCTGTCTGTCAAATAAATAAAGAAAAACCCAAAACAAAACACCAAGATCTATGATTAGTTATTTGACTTAGTAGTTCTTAATCCTGGGACATTAGGGAAGCCTGGGTGGCTCAGTCGACTGGGTTTCTATCTTCTGCTCAGGTTGTGATCCTGTAGTCCTGTAATTAACTGAGCCCCTCATTGGGCTCTGTGCTCAGCAGGGAGTCTGCTTCTCCTACTTCCTCTGCCCCTCCCCCCACTTGTGCTCTCTTTCTCTTTCTCTCTCTCAAATAAAATTTTAACAACAACAACAAAAAATTACTGGGGCGTTAAAAAAATGATCAGGTCTACCCCAAGGGATTTAGATTTAATTAGTCTGGAATGAGTTCTGCTCATTAGTGTTAAAGAACTTATCTGAGATGCTTGTAATAATGTAGTTGAGATTAGGAACTATTAACTTAGATCAATGTATGAATGAAATATGGATGGAGTAAGGGGGTAAGAGAATATATAACTTTAATTTTTCTTTCAAATCCATTCTGCTACTCCTCCAAAAATCCTATTAATAGTTAGTTGAACTCAGAATTTAGTTAACTGAGCACGTATATTTTGAGTCACTGTGTGTCCCTCCTAAATATTTCTAAATCAAAGATTTTTAAACTAGATAGGATATTTTTCTTTGTAGGAAAAAAGCCAATTTAACAAAATACTTTTTTGTGTTTGTCAAAATAAGGTATATTTCATGCCAGGTAAGAGTGGAGTGGCAAGGGATGCAATTGTACATGGTCAGGTAATATATAATCATTATTGCCACCCATTATGTTATGGTAAATACCTGGATTAAGTTTCTGTTAGGAATTAAAATGTATGATGCCGTTATGATTATAGGCAATTCAGTTTTACATAATGTAGTTTGAAAATGTAAAAAGAATGGGTATTTATTATAGCTTAGGTTTCTCTTCTATTTATCCCCACATATAGGTGTGAAGTTCTGTTAGTCCTTATAGCATTTAGAAAAACACTGTTCTTTAATTAAAAGAAAGCTTAAATTGAAAGGATTGGAAACGATTTGGCCAACAAGGCTTTATCTTGAAGCCTCCTGTGCATTTGTTTATTGTATGACCCAGACACAGAAGCCATATACAATTGAAGAGACCTTGGTGAAGATGAGAATCTTGGAAATTAGGAGCTGCCTTGTTTGAGAACAGAGAAAGAAAATTGAAGCAGTGCCTCTGT